CAAGTTGTGGGACTCATAATGGATACTAGATCATGTAAGTTTCATTTCCCTGTGACATCTCCTCTGGCAGTGAGGGCGTTACGAAGTTGCGACATCTGAAGACCGTGCAGAGGTTCACTTATGACGTCATAGGTCAGTGACCTGACCTTACCCAATAATGCGGTTGGTGTCAAAGAATCCGGCTTGAATCAAAGATTAGGTATGCCAAGTTTCAGCTCTATATCTTCAGTGTGTTCGGAGCTATCGCGAAAAAAAAAACTTTGGGGGGGGGGCGGCACGGACAAAACTTTAGTTGGCACTTGGCAACCTTGTATAACTCCTGAGGTTCTGTTACTCACAGCTTCCGGCCGTCTCGCGGTAACCGCGCACGGGCAGCACCGGTGACCTGAAGTAAAAAAATGACCCTAATTTTCGCTGTGGCAGGCTGAGGCAGCTGAACTATACATTTTCTGAAAGGTAATTAATTAGTAAACACCATAAAGATAAAAGAAGAGCGGGACCTAGCCGGACTTTTTATATCGGCATTCCAGAATATCTATAACAGCAAAATTAACTCACAATTTGAAAAGCATCTAAGGAAACTTAACATGTGAAGCGTATTTATATATTCCGTTATAAGTTTTTCTTTCCATCGTGAAACCCACGGTCTTAACTATCAGGCTAGACCCCGAAAATATTGATGAAGCCGTCTAATATATTTTTTTTTTTGCCTAAATTAGCTGCTACTTTTCTCCGTGCGAAAACGGGTCTACGATGCTTGTCAAGGAACTTTGTGTTTGGGCTGATGTGGCGTGGACGCTGTACACCATCACCATGGACGAAAAATATTTGCAGATTCGTGGTCCATGGACATTTCTGAACTATGTGACACATTTTAACTAAATTTGGGAAAGGTCGGCAAATCCACCAATGTCGCGCCAATTCCGGCGGTGGTCCCATCGTGGCACTGGGGTGAAGGTTAATGACCAATTCCGGTGCATTTGGGGGGGGGGCTAATTTATATTGCCGCCCCTGGTGAGTTACGAATGGGGGGCCTTAGCCCCTGCCCGCCCCCCTGGATCCGCCAGTGAACAATATAACACAAATATGCCCTTACATATTCAAAATCGATTGTTCAGCTCTGCTGTGTGTGTACTACACAGCATGGCCAGAAGTCGCTGTAAAGTGGCTCATGCTTTATGAGTGGAATGCCTACATATTGTACGAGTAGGTTGGGTTCGTATTTGCTGTGATGGAATGGACCCCTTCGGTCCAATGAGACCTTTGTGGGATGTGACATCGTATTAACACTATTATTGGCATCATTTATATCATATGCAATCCCACCAATGCACTCATAAGCGGGCAGGAACTTTTCATACATCATGAGAACCGCAGATTTCGGGCCAACATATGACGGCATAGCTATATAAACTGAGGTAAAATATATCAGGATACACTAAAGGACATGATGTGGAGTTTGCTAATGTAATAATCAGGGATGCGGAGCCGGAGCCGGAGCCGGAGCCGGAGCCGCCGGAGTCGGCATATTTTGCCCGGAGCCGGAGCCGGAGCCGGAGCCGTGAAACAATATAGCCCGGAGCCGGAGCCGGAGCCGGAGCCGTCAAAAAAGGGGGCGACTCCGGCTCCTTTTCTCAAGAGGAAACAATTATTTACCTAGTTCGGTTTGACAGTACAAGGCGTAAAACAATGTGGTATTCAAAATAGCCTTGTTATACAAATAGGTACAGAAGCAACGTGTACCAATCCCATCGCCTTTTTTCTTCCACCCGTATTTAATTGATCGCATAGGGGATGTACTGAGTAGAAGCCGGAGCCGGAGCCGCCGGAGCCGGAGCCGCCGGAGCCGGATCATTTTACTCGGAGCCGGAGCCGGAGCCGGAGCCACCATGACATTTCACCCGGAGCCGGAGCCGGAGCCAGAGCCGTCTGAAATTTCCACGGCTCCGCATCCCTGGTAATAATTGAATGAGGACTTTACTCCACAAGAAATCGTTCGGGTCGGAGCTTTCGAATTGTATTCAATGATTCGAATTGTATTCAAATGATGCCAATTTGAACAGGAATTCAGGTGCTATGCTACAGGATCGCTGGCTACCCATTATCCGCAGTGCCTGCCGCTAAAAGCTTGTACGATTTTGACTTGTCTTTTTTATATATTTCACGCTTCCCCCCCCCCCCCCAATTGGTTGTTGCATATGGCTACTTTTCTCGTGAACTTTATATCCTCCTTTTATTAATGTTATTTGTTGTGAATGTTCTAGCCTATTGATGGAGTGTTTTTGATCATTGCTATCATTTTTACTCTTTACCTATTGAATGATTTTCTTCGTCGTTTATAGTGTATTTTATATACCTGGTACCTTTGTTAGCCTATTACCTATTGATGTTGCATACATGTTTATATCACTTGCTATATATAGGTAGGTCTTTATTACTATTTATCACTTTATATAACCTTTGTTAATTAACAGATTTAGGTATAATTAGAATGTATATCGCCATAGACTACTACATACTACGATATGTAGTAGTCTATGATATCGCTTATGAGATATTTTCTTCTTTTTCATATATGTTAAATGTTCTATCATAGAATGTCACGTGCTATTTATCTATTTTACTATCTGTATTCTGTGACATGTCATTGTCTGCCAAAGACGAATCGCCCTAAATTTTGCGACCGATACCCCCGAACCCGATTACGATACGCTGACGAAGCTTTGTAATACAATTCGAAAGCTCCGACCCGAACGATTTCTTGTGGAGTAAAGTCCTCATTCAATTATTATATATCAGGATAGTATAAATCAAGTTATGTGGCCGAAGTATGTTGTATGGCGTAGGGATGTTACGCGTAATTTGATGGGTTTACCCGCTCTGCAAATATTCACAACTTTACAGGCCGCTGACCCCCTTCCCCCTCCCCTCCTCCCTCCTTGTCCCGGCGAGCGGTACGCCGGGAGAACTTACACGTGCATGGGGCCAGACCGTTTTCCTCCCTCTTTAAACCTTACCTCGTTTGCCTTCCGACCGAGCCACCCTCTGTCCCTTCACATTCCGATCCTAATTAGGGTCACCGCACCTGCCTGACGGACTGTCAACCACCCAGCGGGCGGTCGGTCCTGACGGGTCGGTGCTTACACGCAGAATATCGATATCATTGTACGAGAGAAATATTGATTCAAAATGTTTTTGATTCTTGTATATGTGCTGTAAATAAATGTTTCGATCTTAAAAAGCAACTACCCTCCGTAAATCACCCGGTCCTGTCAAGTCGGTGGGGTGTCATGGTCCTGACGAGTGAGCGCTTACAAGTAGGGGTGTGTGTATCTGTGTGTATACTGATGTGTGCACCGAGTGTTTATGTGTCCATAATACATGAAATCATGATCTGAGAAGCTTTTACCAAAAATGCAGTAAAAAAAACTTCACGAAAAGTAAATTCAGCTTGCCTAAAACGCAATTATTTTAGATGACCTAGGTTGACCCTGACCCTGACCTTGACATCTGTACATCGTCGAACAACGTGTTACATGATAGGTGGGAGGTAAGACTGGCAAAAAAGGCCGAAATCAAGGTGTCAAAAGCTCGCAAGGCCCATAGCCAACGCCAGATGTTGAGAATTGGTCATTTGGGTCATGACATGACCTGAAAAACAAGGTCATATCTCCGAAACCAAAAACCACAGAAACTTGAAATTTTCAGTGAACATCAAGAAACGATAGAGGAGCAGCTATATAAAAAATCAGGCTTCTAGCTCTAAAAATGTTGAGTGCAGAGCAGAAAGACTACCTGGGGGGGGGGGGGTGGCAACCCCCCCCCCCATGTGCGGGCGAGGGTTAATAAAAATAAGCTATTTGGAATGATGAATCCGTACTGTCCGTATTCAAATATCAGCATTAACCACACTGGTTAATCCAGTGGTATTTAGACCAAATAATGCTATTGAATGTTTTCCGTCCATGCGGTGAGGAACTGAGCATGGGGATGGTCTGGGGAGCAATATACGCCGATACGTTGACAGAACTTCATAGAATGCCAATAAAACAGGCTGTGAAGGTTCAAAAGAGCGTCTCTCAAATACTGTGAAGGTCACTCATGTCAGCGGGTAACCGTTTCTCAGAAAACATGCGTATTACCGTGAAGAAAATGCTCGAAAGCAGGTCAGAGGCCCTGTTTCGCAGCACTGGGCGTCATCAGGCACTCTTTAAAATGTACCCGAAACTGGCACAAATGCCACTTTCCTAGTTACTAGGACGAAGAGACATGGTTAAAGGACTAACCCAATTAAAAACCCATGCAAATTTCCGATTTATATTGGAATACGGCCCGAATGATCTGAGACCCGGCGGCCAGCATGACTGAGCTTTCGGTGTGGCTAAAATTGACATCTTCGCACATTTTCGTTAATTGGCCAGAGGTGGAGATCTCGGGGGGGGGGGGGGTCGGGGTGGGGGGGGGGGGGGTCAGGACCCCCCTGAAAACGAATTACTGCTATGTAAGTCAATGGTACTGCATCCAGCCCGCCTCCATCTGCCCGGCCTGGACCCCCCTGAAATTTTGACAGATCTCCACCCCTGTAATTGGCTCCAGTGTTCTTTGAGAAAACATGTCCTTTTGTATTTGATTGTATGCTAAATTGAACGGCGGTTCTTGTGAGGTGTAAATAAACGGCCTCAGTACACTTATTTAGATTTTATTGGAAGTTGAAGTGTTTAAAAACTTTTGGGACACCCTGTATAGTGGTCTATGGCTGTACGAGTATGTAGTGTACAATGAGACTCTTGCACCGAAACTGAAACTAACGGACTGCTGCATTGAGACTGAGGCTGATTGGTCTGACTGACTGTTACACTGATTATTATGTAGAATGTCGGACTCTTTAAACTGAGACTGAGGGACTCATACACTGAGACTGATTGGTGTACTGACGGTCTCATGCAGACACTGAGACTGAGACTGACCGACTAGCGTGTGCTTCTGTTTGATGTTCTCAGACGTCAGCTGGGCTCCGTATGTCGACACCGTTGACACAATTGATGCCAGTCAGTATGTGGAAGTTACTTATAATTCGACTGCCCAGGCGATCGAGTTCACGGCTCTGCCGTCTCTGTCTGGTGTCCGAGACTACAATCAGAAGGTGAGATTGAGAATATCATCATATTTATTTGTTAAATCGTATACGATTTTTTTGTACCTTTTCAGTGACGATGACGATGGGGCTGACAGAGTGTATGGAGTGCAAAAATTGCATATTGTAGACTAGTAGTAATTCTCCCTCTGATGTACCAAGATACGTGATAGGTAGTAGGTACATCTTTGACAATATCGTGCGGCCCATTAGTAATTAAGTAATTTTGTTACTTAATGCAAATGTTTTGCCATCATGCTGCTCATCGCTCATACCTTTACAGAAACGCTTCGTTTCATTCGTAATGGACTAGCTCTTTGGTTCATTGGCGGATCGAAAAAGGTGATAATGGACGCAGGTGGTATTGACTATTGGCGTAATTATGCCAAAATGTTCTCCAAATAAAAACTCGGAGTTTGCTTCCTTATGCTCTGCAGTGCATTATAAAGTAATGCATTATAAAGTGTGTTTCTGATAGAAACTGGGAAGTTGTCATTCTATGCGAGAAAAACGACAAAACTTTGTCAATTTTGGACGCAATGGGAGTGGCTTATGCCCAAAATACCCTCTTGGATCCGCCAGTGTTCTTTCTTTTGCCGTGTGCTAGCATATTGAGGCGATAATTGTTACATTCCGATAATTCCATCGGTTGGTGATTGTAACGCCGAGCGACTGCTGCGTTCCAGGGTTACCCGACACTTGCTCAGCTGACCGGCACCTGCCACATGATATGCGGAGGGGACGTAAGTACTGATGTTGGTTTTTGTAAAGCCCCCTCCGTACATATCATGTATTTAATACTCCCCCCCCTCTTCGAGGCCGGGAAGGGGGGCGTGGGCAAGAACGACTCCTTTGCCGCTTCACCTCTACTTGATATATGTACATAAAGTATAGAGCTTTGCATGCAGGAATAAGCATGTGTGCCGTTACAATAAGCGGCACATGACGCTCAGTATTTAAGGTTTCCGGTTAACCGGTGATCTCTGATTTCGGGTCAGAGAGCACATGACGCACATGACGCTCAGTATTTAAGGTTTCTGGTTAACCGGTGAACTCTGATTTCGGGTCAGAGAGCGAGGCCAAGCTGTCGGGACCCTTTTTGTTAAAGACTTGAGCAAAAATGGCCGCAAAGTAATGATAGAAGTATCATCACGTTTGATCCATCCAGCTGTGTCAAATAGTATCTCTTTTGTTAGGTTAACTTGGGTGTAGGTACTGTAGACCTCAGGTCAAGTTCAGGTCAATGCCGAGGAGGTCAGGATGCTTCTCGAGGTAAGTCATGCTGCATGCAATTCAATTCGGCAACTCATTTTGAGCTTATGTTTTCCGCTCTTGATTCAAAGAAACACTCCCATGAACCCAAGTTACTTCAGCGACGTAAGCGTAAGGTTAAGCTAGTGTGAGGTTAATTCAAAGCTAAGCATCAGGTCCTGCAAGAAAATTACGTTTTCAACTGAATATGTAAATAGGACGATGACAGACATGTAGTATATGATATGTTTCCAGCGCAAAATAAGCTGTTTCTATATTTTCCTATTGAATTAGGTATTATGGCGAGGTCATGGTAAGTTCAAGTGAATAACTTGGAATATCGTAACCTTCTTTATTGTTGCCGCTTGACTGGTTAACAATAACAGTAAATAATGCCTACTTCTACGGTAGCATCACGTTACACGTAGCATGTAGCATGTGGTAGCATCATCAACTATCAACATCGTATCTTTGCACTGTTTGGTCATGTGAGCTCTATTTGCTACATTTTCTCTCACTGACATCGGTGAAATTCGAAGTATTATCATCGAGCAAATATCGCATTGGTATTTGCTATTGATTTTTGCCTTGGTTCTATATCTCCAGTAGCTAGGAACCTACTCTTCATTTCAAGCTACCAAAAATGGCAAATGTTACGAGCGTAATCTTGACTCGAGGACAGGATAAAGTCGGGTCACATTGTTGGTGCGTGAGCTGTCAGTTGACTGCTTTGTCCGGGTGCAGTGCCTATCGTTGGTGAGCGGGCCGTTTCGTTGCAGAATGGTGAGTTCCAATTTATACTGCTAGTGCAGGACCGGAACACGGCCAGCCCGAAGTTCGGCGGCGACTTCTCCCGCAGTGTGGACGTGTCGGAAACGTTCCCCACCGGCATCGTCGTGCCCGACCTGATCATTTCCGCCTCAGGTAAGTGGATGTTTCTGTACCTATTTGGTGTTCTATTCAGACCAACGGAGGGCCCCAGGATACGGGGGGACGAGAGATTTCGCCATTCTGCATTTATGGCAACATTCGAAATTGTTGCAGGAAGCTTGATAGGCCTAAGCAAATGGCTGGGCGATCTGCTCTGACAAAATGTCAAGGAACAATGTTTTGGCCTAAATATCTAGTCGAAATTTAACCCGGCAGTTGCTGGGGTATTTCGCCACCCACCGTTTGCTGGGGGGGGGGGGGGAGGCGTTAAACGCCCCCAGCCACCAATAGGCGCAGAACCAATAGGCGCAGCGAAACGCACGAGGCGGCAAACGAAAGAACGCGACGAGACGCTTCAGATGAGTCCTTTAAGTTGAATTTTGAGGTCACAGGTCGGGTCAAGGTCAGGTCAAACACCTGAAATCGGGCTTTCAGTAGCATGGACTTCAGGACTTCGCAATGGGCGCCTCTCGTCATAAACTCTGTCAAAACGGTGCACAATCCATCATATAAGGCCTACAAGAGTGTCAGCCTCAGCTCTAGTGGTGTCAATCGGAACTTGAATCTTCGGAATTCCGATTTGGTCCAATGTCCAATTCGGAATTCGGTTGGACAATGACGGCAGGCGTTGGACAACTTTGAACAATCACTTGCTACACCTCAGCATTCTTATAAAGCAATCGTGTTTAACACTGATTGGCGAATAGAAAGCTCAGCTTTTGAGATGATTAACACATTAAAGCTGGTAATAGTACATTAAAACAATTAAATAACAGTGTTGAGTGTAAACTATTGCGTAGGTTTCGGACATCTTTGGACAAATGGCTGGCTTGGACATTTTTGGACGGACAATCGACGTAAGCATTGGAAATTGGACGGACATTGGACATACATTTTCTGAAACTGACACCACTAGTCAGCTCCATGTAGGGGTCAGTCAAGCATAGGTCAGGGTCAAGGTCAGGTCAACCGGGTAGGCACATATCCCCGAAAATCAAAACTGATATTTGCAGCCTGTGACACATGTTTTATGGGTAATTTGGGGCGTAGGGGAAAGTGGGTGTATTGCGCCCTCCTAACCAATTGCGCCCACCAACATTCCCACGGATTCAATGGCATGATTAGATTTTTGTGTTCGAAAACATTATTTTCACCACTGGATAGATCATTTTATGGCCCAAACTCTCTGATGAAGCCAATTAGCAAGCCTCATTACGCCTTCAAAGATGTTATGGCGTTTTCTTAACTATTTTGCAGTATTTTGAACCGTTGGCTATAAAAATTTGCGATATTTGTGTGATTTTCAGAGTGATATTTAGAAAGAAACCCCCTTTTTTCATTGTATTTCACTGAAACAGTAAACATCCTTCAACATCTTTATGACAACTTCTACGCTTTTATTAAAAAGTACCTCATTTTTAATTGCGCCCATGGCAATTGCGCCACGGGGGCGCAAATAGAATAATGGTGTAGTCATTGTATCACGACAGTATGAATGCATCATTAACTGATTGCAATAAAGCAGGAGTTTAAGGTCAGGCAAGGGAGCAGCCCGCTGTCGTCAGTCCGCAAATTATTTCTCTCGTCGAACTTATAATGCAGCTGCCATTTAGGCTACGGCTTGTGGTGTAATGGACAAAATACGACATTTTTAACATGGACTCAGGCGTGAGAAGTGACAGCTATGATAAAAAACTAAAAACTGATGTCATTAAGTTTTCAAAACGATAAAAATTATTAATTTTGCGAGAAACGATTGAAAATATAATTGTATAGGCGCATACGTTCACATATATCTAGTCAGTTACAGTAAACGTTTTCGTTGCACTTTTACAAGCGTACGGACACATATAAAGTTATCTACCTGGCCAAAAAACATCGCGATTTATATCTACATTTATTATTTATCCAGCCTGAATAACATTATAAATGTTTAAGTAAGCCGCAATGACATTAGACTGCCCGGGGTGTATGCATTCCGTCTCATTCACTTAGCCATGTTAAAGTATAGGGCGCAATTGGGTTCTAATTGCGCCATCCCCCTGGCGCAATTTACAGCAGTTGTTGGCAAATGCGCCCTTTTGCATGTTTCTGAAAAAGCAGCTGTCAGAAGCAAACAAAACATCCTCAATTGATCGGGAGGCTCTTAAATCGTAGCCAACGAGTTCCTCTTTGAAATGGTTACCAGTGCATGCTTATATTTCCAGCGGTTTTCTTACAAATAGAGTTTTTCGTTAAGGTGGCGCAATTCACCCTCCTTCCCCTATAGAACACGATGGTGACATTCATTTTATCATATGTGTACGTGTTTGGCTCAAAAAGCTCAATTTAAGAAATACATGTATCATGGTCGTGAAGTAGTCACGAGAAATTGCCAAGATTCAGTTCAAGATTTTGGAAAATGCGAAACGATAATCAATAATCGAAGATAACCATTTGATCGTTCATGGTATTGGCAGTCTAATAGCGTTTACGGCATGTCTGTATGTCTATTCTGTGATTTTATATGATTTTTTGAACATATGCCGTTTTTGGTCGAAAACTCAGAAATCATGACGTCACTAAGACCTCGATATCTCAAATATTTTCCGACCGATTTTTTTGAAACTTTGTCACAATACACTTCAATCAATTCCCTACAGGTACTCAAAATTTGGCGCGCCTGCGGCGCGCTGTTTTTATGCTATGGCCCGGCGAAAAAAATGGGGGCGTTTAACGCCCCCCCCATCAACTCGCGGGTTAAGACAGGCACGGTTCGTCGGAAGGTCATCTCAGGCTCAAAAGAAACGGTATATACCATTCGAAAGCTGACGGTGAGCTGAATCCAAAAGTGTAACTTTTATCAAAATCGATCGATGGCCTTTTTTTGAAAATTGCGTTTTTGGAAAAACTTATTAATTTTGTAATCGACGGGCTGTCCCGGGCATTCTTGAAAAAATAAACATGTTTTTTCGAGTTACAGTGAAAGCTGAACGCCAAAAGAACAATGTTTAGCGAAGCAATATTTCCTAACATTAATATGCGTCTCCCACAGCCGACAATAAGGCGCAATCACACAGCTCAGTGTCACGATGGACCAAATTCAGCCACACAGAAGCGTGAAATGACCCTTATCGACTCGCAGACCCGGCGCTCTCGGCCCGCCTGACCGGCCACGGAAAGAACGTTCGGCTCTCGTTCTACTAAACAATTTTTCTTATACATGTTTTGTTCCCTCCAGCTGCGCTCAGTGCCAGCGCAGGGGAAGTGAGCGGGGTTTCACTGTCAGAGGCTGTACTGGTGACAGCTGCTCGGCCGCGCGACCGGTCAAAGGTTACCCCGCCCCACCGGGCGCTACCCCCACTCCACCCGAGCTGAGGCCGGTGCAACCTCTGACATTTCAGCGCGGCCAATTTTCCTAATATGGGCATGATACCAAGCTCAATTGAGCAAAGTAGACATGAACAAATGCAAATTCATGCATGATGTGAAGATGACAGAACAATGAATTTTCTTCACAGGTATCCTGAATAACTGTAATAGCGATGTGGACAGTTAAACTGACAATGACATTTGTTTAGTAGAACGAGAGCCGAACGTTCTTTCCGTGGCCGGTCAGGCGGCCCGAGAGCGCCGGGTCTGCTAGTCGATAAGGGTCATTTCACGCTTCTGTGTGGCTGACTTTGGTCCATCGTGACACTGAGCTGTGTGATTGCGCCTTATTGTCGGCTGTGAGAGACACATATTAATGTTTGGAAATATTGCTTCGCTAAATATTGTTCTTTTGGCGTTCAGCTTTCACTGGAACTAAAAAAATACATGTTTATGTTTTCAAGTATGTCCGGGACAGCCCGTTGAATAAAATATTATAAAGTTTTTACAAAAACGCAATTTTCAAAACAGGCCATCGATCGATTTTGATAAAAGTTACACTTTTGGATTCAGCTCACCGTCAGCTTTCGAATGGTATATATCGTTTCTTTTGAGCCTGAGATGACCTTCCGACGAACCGTGCAGGACAGGCCGAGTCTAAAGTTCCTCGCGAGGCACGGGCCAACAAACTGCTCTTCATCTCCAGATGCTGATGCCGACGCGACAAACTATGAACTGACCTTTGCGATCAAAGGGGACAGCCCGTTCAGTCTGACCGAGCCTGTGAAGACCGGCGACGTGCTGCCCACGTACACGACCCAGCTGAAGCTGGCCGCGACTCTGGACTATTCGAAGAACAAGACGTACCAGCTGACCGTCACCGCCAAGGTGAACAGGGACGCCGGCAGCCGCGGAGACAGAACGGAACGTGCCGTCAACAGTTATCATTGTGCTGCTGTTATCGTTGTCGTAAAACGGAAGATCTGGCTAATTGCCAGCTAGTAACTTCCCCCTACCCCGACCAGGGCCTCGGCCTGTCGGGAGCAAAATTCTAAAAAAAAAAGTTATCGTTGTCGATTCAGCATGCATGAATGGCTGCCTGCTAGCAATGTAGAGTCGTAACCCGCCATTGACTGAGGGGGAGCTCCCCCTGCCGCCTTTTCGCGATAACTCAAGAGCTTATCACGTAATCACCCTAAAATTTACTGCAGCTTTTCATGCAATTTTTTTTTTTTGTATCAGATAACGTCTTTTGAACATTGTGCTTGTATTAGTAAAAAATGAGGTACGACTCATTTGAGACGTCCCTACACGCCATTTTTGGCCGAAAAAATGCATTTCTTATGAACTGTCTGCAAGACCGTGCCTGAAACTTCATTTAGATTTCGGATTTACTTTTTTGTGACGTGCCAGCACCTGAAAGGTTATTTTTAACTCATGCTACAAAATTTTACCTGAAATTCAAATATCGAAATAAAAAGTAGAGTATTCTCTTAAAATCATTTCACGCCAGGCCCAACTGGTTTGATGCTCCTACTCTGTCTGCGTGTGCCCGCAATACCGTTGTCCCCAGGACCCGGGAGGCAAGTCAGCTGATGTCACGATCACAGTCAATGTCAAAGACGAGGACACGCAGCAGCCCAAGTTCGATAAGGACATCTACACCGCCACCGTGGATGACCCAGAGGTCAGTGGTGGCTGAGGTGCCCATGTGACCCCACCTCCAGCCTATCCCGAAGGGGTAGAGCGGGCTCTGCATGCTCTACATGGGCGACGTGAGACGTCCAATAGCCCTAGTAGATTTCCTCTTTAATTAGGTATATATTGAACAGCAGATCACATCGGATGGGTGAGTGTTATAAAAGAAAACAAAGAAATGCCGCACCTCAGTAAAGCACAAAGGATAATTTTACATTTTTAATTTCGGTGTGTGCAGCTCATTCATTTTTATAAATGTTTACTTCGAGCATGTATGCTTCAAGTAACTATAATGTTTAACGTGCTTTTGTCTGCCAGAAATTATATTTGTAGGATGCGCCTTAGTGAACGGTCATATGAAGGAAGCAAAGAGCCGCACAAGCTAACTTACCTTTTTTCCTGCATGTCCGATTATTTTCAGACTCCTGGGCAGTTGGGGGTCAGCATAAGCGCCACGGATCCCGACGCTCCTGGAAACTTAACATACACTCTGATTATGGATTCCTCTGGAGGTAGGTCCATATCGTATGTCTTTGAAATAAGACGAGCTTTTGAGACTTTTGGAGCATCGTAAGGGAGGCGGCTTGTATGAGTTCATCTAAAAATTTCAAGTGATCTAACAAATCGGACACAATTTTGCTCTTGAATATTTGATAACCTGCGATGGAGCAATAAAGTAGCGTGCTGAATTTGCAGCCGGCCTATTTGAGGTGGACGGTGGCTACTGACAATGTTTGAGCACTGTTTGACATTGGCTGATTGTTGTGCACTTTCTCTTTCAGGTACCTATAAGAAGTACTTCTCGTTGGACCCGGCCACTGCAGAGCTGAACCTTACTCAGCCAATCAGCGATATGTTGCAGCCTTATGACACCACCGTCACATTCACTATTGAGGTGGGGTCATCATTCATCAGGTGAAATCGCGGCTGTGGTGAGATCACTATTTAGAAAAATCACTATTGACTTGACATCAGGGCCCTGTTCATGAAGTCTGCGGTCGCTGCGGCCGGCCGCAGGTTCTAAGCCCCGCCCATTTTTGAAACGTCATCACTCACTCAGCCGCAGCAGCGTTCCATGAACAGCGCCTGCTGCCGAAATAGTTTCCAACAATTGTTTACAACTGACGCACACCGCTAGATAATTTGTTTACAAAATCGTCTCCATGACAACACGGCTTGCGCCTATTTGACTTCAGTGCGCCAAGTTCAGAGCAATTAATTTTCTTGCGGCTCGGCGGTCGCTGGATTGCGGCCGCAGAGATCGCAGCGGCCGCAGCAAAGTGACGTCATACATTCGTCATACTACATGAGCCCCGCCCCTTTTCGTGACGTAACAACCCGGCTGACCGCAGCGACCGCAGCGGCCGCAGCGACCGCCGGGGTTCATGAACAGGGCCCAGTTTTGAGCAAGCATGTGCATAGATCCGAGAAATTGGTTCATGGGGTCTGATCCTACGGCTATTAATTTCGGATCCGATGGAATCATATATTCAGGTCTCTCGTTTGTCGAAAGATCCATTGGGATCATAGAGCTGAGCCTATTTCTCTTCCAGAGATCCGGTGAGGTCATAAATCTTACCTCAATCTTAATTTATCAACACAGAAATCCTCGAAAAACACTTGGGATATTGGGCATTTATTCCTTTTTGGGGATCTTATGCAATTACAGACATCACATCAAAACTCAGTGTATATGTTACATACATCACAACTTATAGTTTAGTAGTAGGTACACATCAGAACTTATGGTTTATGGCACTTATTGACACAAAACCACCCGGAAAAATGGTTTCCAGTTATATCCGCGTCAATATGGGAATGCGTGATTTGGTGTCCTTGAATCCTTGCCCCGTGCTGTGATCTTTTGTGCATTTTGGCCTATTTTTCCTTTATAGCTATACCTAATACAGCAAAGGCGGATCTTAACCCGCGCATGACTGGGGTATTTTCCATAACGCGAGTGACTGAGGGGGAGCTCTCCAGAGCCCCTCCTATCTCAGAAACTACCCGGCCGATCGTTAAAATTCAAACGGCGTCTGATAGCCCTGGAAAACTGTCGAGCGAAATCTTTTTCATTGACCTCGAGGTCACCAATGATGTCACAGGTCAGGTCAAAGTAAAAATTATCGGCATTTTTGCTTGTTCACAATTATAGGCTCTGACCACCGTTAACAAGGCCGATCAGGCTCATTTTTTGTTTACACACTCCTTGATATATGCCTTAGATACTCTGAGGGTACCGAACTTTTACTTCGATTTCTTTTTTTCAGGTCAAGGCCAGGTCATCTTAGGTCACGAAAATTGTTTATCATGTATCAGTCACGTGACACATGTTTCATGGTCCATTTTACTTGTAGATTTCGAAAACAATGTCGTCTGTGTCATTTGAGGTCATTTTCAGATGAATTTACCGGAGGTCAGGTCACTTTCAGGTCAGAAAAGATCAAATTTTGAAAATGAAATTTTTCAACAACAAAGGTGCCTATCAGATGCAGTTTGAGCTGGGGAACACGATGCTGCCATTTATATTGCTGTAAGATGTCAAAAACGTACTAAAAATGGTTTTGAAAAATATATTTTTGTAAAATTTTGACAATAATGCAAATAACTTGGCTATTTTTGAAGGTATTGGGCTAAAACTTACTAGAGTAGTTCATCAGTGTGTGTTCCATCACATACATTCCGGTTTTTGCGAAAAATTGAAAACTTTTGAAAGAATAAAAAATACATTGTTTGTAATTATAAAAACATATTTTTCAAAATGTTCACAATTTTGAAAATTCGAGATGGCAGTTTGATAGCTACGTTTATGTGTAGTCCAATGATGCAAAGTAATTGGATCTAGCTTTAACCTTCGCCCCAGTGGGGGGGGGGGGGCATATGTTTCCACCCTGTCGCGTTTTTTGCGTGTGAATAAAAAACCGCGGCGCGTAGCGCCGCGCCGCTTGGGGTAGCTTTTGGTACATCAATTTTGGACAATGTGTGAAATTTTTGACCCCAGGTCATGTCAGGTCAGGTCACCAGGTCAAGTTAACTGACCATGCCTAAAAAAAGTTTGCAATCCCGTCCAGCCTGCAGTGTTTGTCAGAAAGGTTTTAAACTTGGAGGATTGCATGCTGTTATAAGCGCCTACAATTTGTATATCTCGGATTTTTTATATCCGTGACCTAAGGTCAGGTCAGTGGCGTGACCTTTCCATTACAAGTCAATGGAGAAAAATGAAAATGCCTCTAGATCCGTGTGTACGCATAGGAACAGTCCAAATATTTCAGAATCACAATGATTTAGTCCACTCGTGATGACCAAGGTGTCATTTTTGCTGATAGCCTCTAGAAAGGTCATCCAAGGTCATTTGAGGCTACAAATCGACTGATAAGCAGCATGACCTTTTCCGGTCAGATCATGACCTTGACCTGAGGTCAAATTTTCAAGTTGACCTTTCAAGGTCAAATTATAGTTCATTCGACGCGTCTCAGCAAGGGGAGCACGATTCTGGCAATAGAAATGTCGTGGCTTTTTGTAGTCGAAAGTTATTGTCGAAAAACACTTTTCGTAAAAACAGCTATTTTTGGAGTTTTTGCCCTCTGGAGGCTAAACCGTTGACCTGAGGTCAATATTGATAATGACCTTATCAAAAGAAGAGTTCAAAAGCTATCGATTGCTTTTCAATGTGTTTTTCTAGCGACCATAGTTCCTGAGATAGCGGCATGTTTTCTGAAAAATAACATGACAATTGGCAAATCTTGACCTTTGATGACCTCTGGTGACCCCAATATTGCTCTAAGGTGAAAATGACCGAAATAATTTCAAACGTACGCATTGAGAGCTATCGACTGCTTGTTACCGCGTCTTTCTAGCCCTCTTAGTTTTTGAGTTAGAGGTGGGTGGTAACATATGCCCCCCCCCCCACTAGGGCGAAGTTGGCTGAGACCGCCACTGGGGCGCGGGTTAAAACTAAGCTCTTGAGAGCGTTTGCCGTGATTCAATATTCTGCATCTAAATCGGCCGACATGATGTCACTCTGACGTCATTTCCGGCCACACTATGGTAGCTAGAAAGTCGAAATTTTAACCCGCGCCCTGATGGGGTCTGCCGAGCAACGCGGTCTGATGGGGGGAGGGCATTTTGGCCCCCCCCCCCTAAGATCTCGAGAACCACGCAACATAGCGACAAGCGGCAAACGGCGTTGGATAGCCCCAACGGGGAACTATCTTGTGACCGAATTTCATTGACCTAGGTCAAACCGATGACGTCACAGGTCAGGTCAAAGGTCGAATTTTCACCGTTTACAGGCATTTCAAGAAATACGTTGTAAAATCGAGTAAAATGCATTTCATTGAAAATCATCGATGGGGAAATGCTCGTCAAACACATATTCTGCTATTTGAGGTCACTGATACCAGGTCAGGTCACTGAGGTTCACAAATTAAAAATATCATGTGATGCATGTTTTATGGTCCATTTTATATGCCAAATGCGATTATGTGGGACAGGAAGCCCTTGGGGTCAGTTCAAATTATGTTTTGGTGAAGGTCAGGTCAAGGTCAGGTCAAGGTCAGGTCAAATTAGGTCAAATTTCAAAGTTGATATTTTTGCATAAAATGGGCATCGATTCGATGCAGCTCGTCACGGGGAGTTGAATGGTGGTCTCTGTTTTGCGCTACGTGGTCTAGAATTGCTAAAAAGTGAGTTCAAAAATTTGACGTCATCAATTTTTAACAGTTTTTTCGCTATAACTTGGCCAAAAAAAGAGGTATCGATCTGAAATTTTGTATGTATATCGAAGAGCAAAGGGACTATTTTATATATTCCGTTTTTTTTCGAAATTCGATTTTTTTGGGAAATTTTTTGAGTTTTTCTAAAACAATCAATTTTTTTGATTTTTTGGGGTTAAAATCCCAAAATTGGAAAATCCGAGATCGCAGTTTTGTAGCGCCGTCTTTTCTCTACACAACCACATAAAGAACTTTAAAATTGCTTGTTAACTGTAGAATTGGTGAGCGTTTCACGATGTCATGATTTTGCTCATTTTTACTCGAACATGACCTCAGTTTGACCTCAATAACTCCTGACCGGAGGTGACCTGTGACTTGAAATTTTGTTTGAAGGTGTCAAATTGATGCCCGGTAAGGTACCGAAAATTTGGCGGCGCTGCGCGCCGCCGTTTTCTCGCTATTTAAGAAAAACCACAGGGGGCCAAAATGGCCCCCATCAGGGCGCGGGTTAACACAAGGTGTCAAATCAATGCCGCTGAGGGTACTGCAAGTTTCGTATCGATCCGTCAAACGGTTTAGAAGATATTGCCGAAAAATGGGAGGGGGCAGTCATGCGCGGGTTAAGAGACAATTTCTTTTACTTAAGTAGGTCAGAGGTCAGGTCAAGGTCAGGTCAAGTGAGGTCAAATTTTGAAGTTGATTGTTAAGACCTAAAAAGGTGTCTACCTGATGCAGTTTTTCACGGCAAATCGAATGGTGCTATTTTTGTTTAAGCACGAGGTCTAAATCTTCCAATTTTTTTTTCTCCAAAACTTGATGTGTCGTGACGCCATAAAATTTGAATAACTCCCACATTTTTGAACCGATTCTTTTAAAAATTGGTATGTAGGTGCACATAGACGACTTCTCTGACATGTATTCCGGTTTTTTCGATACATTCAAAATTTTGGACTTTATAATTATTAAAAAAAAAGTCAGTAAAAAAAAATTGGGCCAAAGTCCAAGGTTTCAAAAAACCAAGAAAGTCATTTGATAGACAAAGTATAATCACGTTTAAACTTTTCTATTACGTCTTGATTCCTTTCAAAATGAGGATGTTAGCGGCATTTGAAGTTTTACCGTTTTTGAGGCGAAAATGGCGTGACTTGATGTCACTTAAACGTCATTTTCTAAAACAAAA